GTGTGTGCAAAGGCTTCCTAGATGCGTGGAGGCACCGCAGGACCCTTCTAGGGTGTCTGTGTGCAGGAGTCCTATGGGGTATTCACGACTGCCACATCCCCTCTTCCCAATCCCCTTTCATCCCTGCTCTCTGTGGTGGTTCTGATTTTCTTGCATGGGCTGTGTTTGGAGAGCAGAAAAATGCCAAGTACAGAAATTAAAATGGTGCCCCAGAAGACTCAAAGCCACTCCTGTGGCCAGAGCTGGATACAAGGAGCCACAGGATGGAAAGTGGGGTCTGCAGGGGGGAGGACGTTCCCCACAGGGAGTGGGCCCCTGGAGCCAGGGGCGCTTTCCTCACATAGTTAGCTGGGGCCAGGGCCAGGGCTTTTTCGGTGGCGGCTCCTACCTGGTGGAATGAGCTCCCGGGGGAGATCCGGGCCCTGCGGGACCTTATGCAGTTCCGCAGGGCCTGCAAGACGGAGCTCTTCCGCCAGGCCTTTGAGTAGGAGCCGCCGCCCCACTATAGCATCACCGTCACGGGACCTTAAAGGATGCACTGATGAGGCCCTGAGGAAGAACCTGGAAATGTTTAGAAGATCTGATAAGTCGTCTCCGTTTAGGCATAATATCATGGGATGTACCATCTGAACTGAGTTGCTTCATCTTGGACTCACGATACTAGTAATTGATTGAGCACCATTGTTCTTAACAATGCTGGATGCTTTTATTATGTACCATATGCTTTATTTATGGCTCCGTTTTTACCTTGCCCTTGTGAGCCGCCCTGAGCCTTTGGGGAGGGTGGGATACAAATATGAAAAATAAATAAATAAATAATAAATAGTTGCAGTTCCGTGACTAAGACCATCAGCTGGGAAGGCCTGGCTTCCAATGACAGGGAGGAAATAAAAAGGCCGCAGTAGTCACAAAGAGATTAAAAAATAAGACCAAGGCTGATGGTGCAAGTAAAGTAAAAATATATTTTATCGCTCAGTTAAAATTCCCTATGCGTCTCACCAGCAGGCTTCTTCAGGGGAATCTGTAACGTATAATACGAAAATACGTTTTGGAGTTCTTATAAATAGCAATTGTTATTTAGTCAGATATATGTAAATAAATAAAGCATTCTGTTAAGAATCAAATTACGGTTTGTCCTGTATGGTATAAACATTTATTAAAAACAGTTATAAGACCAGCACAATAAACCGAAGTAGTACAACACAGAGTCTACAACATAGGATCCTTACAACCATAATTTCTAAAATGTCAAATCAGTCAATTCCATCATTAATGGCTCAAGTTACAGTACATTCTACATTTTTTAATTACCAAGTAACAATATTTAGCAACACTGCGTGAGACAGAATCATAATTATCGGCCAGTAAGAACTTCATCAAGCATTCCTTGGCATATGTAAGGTAGTTAGCCAAGGGTTTAAACCGTGAGAGAAGGGGTATCAACAGCTGCTGTCTCTCTACGTCATACATAGGACAATGGAGTAAAATATGGGCGGCCGACTCCATCTGTTCTAACAGGCAGGAGCAAATTCTCTGGTGCATGGGAGTCTGGTTATATCTACCATAAAGTACTGCTGAGGGTAACACATCAAGCCGGGCTCTAGTAAATGCCCATCTATGGTTAGGATTTGTCCTGTATGGTATAAACCAAGTACAAAACCATTGAGTTTAACTGCTAAGATTTATTCTGTCTTTATGATTGCATGGAGCAAAATGATGTGGAGGGAAAAACTCCCCGTACATAAGAGAGATAAAATACTCTGTCCAGCACACAACAGGTTTTGGCTGAGTTGTAAAAGAATCTTGCAGTGTTTCTGCAGTTAGTCTTGCAGTTTTTCTGCAACTAGAGTACAAGATCAGTAGCAACTGCTAATAGAAGAGCCCTAGTATATAACAGTGTTTAGTTGGTGCAGTCTCTGTTTTACTTGCGTGTGTTCTGTGCTGTCAAGTTGCTTCTGACTTATGCTGACCCTATGAATTAATGACCTCCAAAACTTCCTGTCTTTAACGAGCCTTGCTAAGGTCTCGCAAACTGAGGGCCATGGCTTCCTTGATTGAATCAATCTATGTCAACGTTGGGTCTTCCTCTTTTCCTGCTGCCGTCAACTTTTCCTAGCATTATTGTCTTCTTCAAGTTCCTCTTGTCTTCTCATGATGTGACCAACGTACGAAAGTCCCAGTTTAGTCATTTTAGTTTTGAGAGAGAGTTCAGGCTTGATTTGATCTAGAACCCACTTATTTGTCTTTTTGGCGGTCCACAGTATCTGTCAAATGCTTCTCCAAGACCAACACCACTTTCTTCCTAACTATAGATAGTCATAGGGAATAGATGGCGAACCTTTTAGAGACCGAGTGCCCAAACTGCGACCCAAAACCCACTTATTTATCGCAAAGTGCCAACATGGCAATTTAACCTGAATACTGAGGTTTTACTTTAGAAAAAACAACTCATACATTAACTTAAGATGATCCAAACAAAGTAAGGAAAGGAATCCCAGATGCTTTCATTTACTTAAAATTATTTGGCAGAGAATTCGACACTTTAATGATGGTCTGGGCCTGGCTGGGGCGATGGCATGCGTGCCCACAGAGAGGGCTCTGAGTGCCACCTCTGGCACCCGTGCCATAGGTTCGCCACCACTGCCATAGCATGAATTAACTTGATCTTGGTTGCCAGTGGGATATCCTTACACTTAAGAATATTTCCTGGCCCCTTCATGGCTGCCCTCCCCAGTCTCAATCCCCTTCTGATTTCTTGGGTGCAGTCTCCCTTTTGGTTAAGGATGGAGCCAAGGAATACAAAATCTTGAACAATTTCAGTTTCTTCATTTTCAGCCTTAAAGTGGTGTAATTCCCCAGTAGTCAGTGAGTGCCCTTCCACTCTACATCAGACAAACAGGTCAGTCCCTAACTATGCAAAAGAATAGACATAGACATAGACATTTAAATCCACAACACTCGAAAACCAGTGGGAGAACATTCCAGGTCATTCCATTGCTGACATAAGAGTGGCAGTCACCAGACAAAGAAACCTCAGTGGAAGATCACAATGCGAGGTGAGTTCATTCCCAGGTTCAGAACAATGGACACCTCCCCCCCCCCCCCCCAGCTACACGGGCTGAAGTTATCTCACTACAGATGTTAATTTTCTGCACCCAGGCATTTCACTTCTGCTTTAACTAAGTTGCTTACAATGCGCATTGTCCCTTTGCATCCTGAGTTTCTTCTTTGCAGCATCCCTCTCATCTTCTGACTGGGATGTAAAGACTCAGAGAACTCCATTCCTACTCCTGTCTGATGAAGGGAGCTTTGATGCGCAAAAGCTTATACCCTGGAAATTTAGTTAAGAACATAAGAACATAAGAGACGCCAATGTTGGATCAGGCCAAAGGCCCATCCAGTCCAACACTCTGTGTCACACAGTGGCCAGAAATACCAGTGCCATCAGGAGGTCCAGCAGTGGGGCCAGGACATTAGAAGCCCTCCCACTGTTGACCCCCCCAAGCACCAAGAAGACAGAGCATCACTTGCCTCAGAGCCCCTAGCTATACCTTGTGGCTAATAGCCACTGATGGACCTCTGCTCCATATGCCTATCTAATTCCCTTTTGAAGAAGTCCATGCTTGTAGCCGCCACCACTTCCTGTGGCAGTGAATTCCAAGTGTTAATCACTCTTTGGGTGAAGAAGTACTTCCTTTTATCCGTTCTAACCCGACCGCTCTGCAGTTTCATGGAGTGCCCACGAGTTCTTGTATTGTGAGAAAGGGAGAAAAGTACCTCTTTCTCTACCTGCTCTTTCCCATGCATAATCTTATAAACCTCGATCATGTCGCCCCTCAGTCATCGTTTCGCCAAGCTAAAGAGCCCTAAGCGCTTTAAACTTTCCTCATAGGGAAAGTGTTCCAACCCCTTTATCATTCGAGTTGCCCTTTTCTGCACTTTTTCCAGTGCTATAATATCCTTTTTAAGGTGTGGTGACCAGAACTGCAGACAGTATTCCAAATGAGGTCTCACCATTGATTTATATAGGGGCATTATGATACTGGCTGATCTGTTTTCAATACCCTTCCTAATAATCCCCAGCATAGCATAGTTGGTCTCTAAAGTGCAACTGAACTTGAATCTGAAACTATCTTTATTATGGTTGATACTCACCTTGGAAGAAAGCTCTATGTGTGTGTGTATACACATGATACATGTGTGGAGGTCTCCAGGCGTTTCTACCCAAAGCCAAACCCAAATAACATGGTCAGGAAAGGCTCTGGGAACCATGACCAGTCAGAGCAGACAGGAGTGGAATGGGTGGCCTAGGGGTCTGATTCAGTCTAGGGCACCTTCATGGGAGTCCCCTGTGGAGAGCAAATGTCCTTGCTCATGTGACAGTTCTGCTGCCCTACAGAATATTCAGGGCACTTCTGCACACACTAAATTACGCACTTCGAAACCACTTCCAATGCACTTTGCAACTGGATTTTCAGGGCACTTTCGCACACACTAAATTATGCACTTCCAATCCACTTTCAATGCACTTTGCAACTGGATTCCACTGTGTGAAATGGCAAAATCCTGAATTATGCACTTCCAATCCACTTTCAATGCACTTTGCAACTGGATTTCACTGTGTGAAATGGCAAAATCCACTTGCAAATGGCTGCTGTAGTGGATTATTTTGTATGTGTGTTCATACAGGGCAGATTAGGTGGGAAAGTTCTTAAATTCTAAACAAGAATGTAAATGGATGCACATAATAAAGAATGAGGTATGTCAAAACATAAATACTGCTGTGGTTTTACCTCAGTTGATGTATCTGGCCAATAAAAACTAGAGGACACTTTTATCTCTTCTTTCCGTTTAACATTTCTTTTTTTCTCCAAGGGGAAGCCCAGTCTAGAACACTGTAACTCATGTCCACAGCTTTCGATAGGAACAAGATCACTGAGCGATCATCCAATATGAAAACGGAGGGGCAGAGTGCTGCGATAGTCTTCCAGCCAGGGAGCATGGGGGAATTCCTTCAGAGGAGAGTGGGAGATCTGATCCCTCAGCAGGCGAGGGATGGTTCCCTTTCCCTCACCCAGTGGGAAAACCAGTGGCGGGGGTTCCTTAGGACATTGGAGCCTCCTCAGTCTCGATGGGGGATCCCTCCCTTGCCAGAGAAATCTTCACCCTGGCATGACACCAAGGCCTTTCTGGCCTCCTTTGAGCAAGTGGCCGAAGCCTGTCAGTGGTCTGAGGAAGAGCGAGTGAACCGTCTCCTCCCAGCCCTCAGTGGAGAAGCTGAGGAGGCCTATATCAGCCTGGATATCGGAGACAGAGAGGATTATGGGAAGGTGAAAGCATCCATTCTGCGAAGGGACGCGATGAGCAGAGAGAAGCAGCGTGAAGAGTTCAGGCGTTTCTGCTACCAGGAGGCCGAGGGCCCGAGGGGGGCTTACATCCGACTGTGGGAAATGTGCCGCGGGTGGCTGAGAGTGGAGAATCACAGCAAGGAGCAGATCCTGGAGCTCTTGGTCCTGGAGCAGTTGCTGAGCATCCTCCCTCCGGAGATCCGGAGCCAAGTGAGGGAGAGCGGCCCCGACAGCTGCTCCCAGGCGGTGGCCCTGGCTGAGGAGTGCCTCTTAAGACAGCAAGAGGTCGAGGAGCAGGTGAGGCCCTTCTCCTGGGTGGGTCCTGAGTGAGAGGGAGCCTGCGGTAGAACAGGCAGCTGAGATCTCTGAAGGAAAATGTGAAGGGTCTTTGGCCCTCCTTCCCTGGAAGCTCAATCCAGAGAAGGCTGAGGTGGTATGGGAAAAGCAGTATCTCTCGGACAAGGAGGAAGGCGGTGCGTTTCCTTGGATGGGGTCCACCTGCCCCGAAAGAACAGGGCCTTAGATTGTATTGTACTGTCGTTTTTGGAGGAAGTTTGGTGGCCTTGGTAGGGTTACCAACCTCCAGGTGAGGCCTGGTGATCTCCCAGTATTACTGCTCTCCAGATGACAGAGATCAGTTCCCCTGGAGAAAATGGCCAGTTTGGAGGGTGGAGTCTCTGGCATTGTAGCCTGCTGAGGGTCCAACCCAGGCTCCACCCCACCCACCCCCAAGTCTCCAGGTATTTCCCCACCCAGAGCTGGCAACCCTACGAGGAGGGTTTTAACCAAACAGACAAACAGACTGCAGCATTTGTGAGCTGCCCTGCCGGATCTCTCCTTCTTCATGGGTCATCTTGTGGATCATGCAGAGTCCTAGTTCCGTTTTCTTTGCTTGGTTTTAAAACACCACCCTCCCCCTCAAAAGGCAGCTTCTCAAAGATAATAACATAAGAGAAGCCGTGTTGGATCAGGCCAGTGGGCCCCCCCCAGTCCATCACTGTGTCACACAGTGGCCAAAACCCAGGTGCCACCAGGGGTCCCCCAGCAGGCCCAGAATTCCAGAAGGCCTCCCAATGTTGTCCCTCCCCAAGCACCAAGAACAGAGAGCGTCACTTGCCCCAGACAGAGTGTTCCATCTGTACCTTCCGGCTAATAGCCTCTGATGGACCTCTGCTCCATAGGTTTATCCAATCCCCACTTGAAGCTGTATGCTCCTTAAGGATCCTGTGTCATGATCTGTCCCTCTTATGTAGCGATGGAACTGCTAAGATTTACACCCGCCCTTCACTCGGAGCCTCAGAGCGGCTTACAAACTCCCTTCCCCTCCCCACAACAGACACCCTGTGAGGTAGGTGGGGCTGAGAGAGCTCTGAGAGAATGGCTCCTTCAAGAACAGCTCTGACAGAACTACGGCTTGCCCAAGGTCACACAGCAGCTGCAAGTGGAGAAGTGGGGAATCAAACCTGGTTCTCCCAGATTAGAGTCTGCGCTCTTAACGACTACACCAAACTGGCTAAGTTTAGAGAAAGGGACAGAACCAGCCCCTCAGTCTCCCCCCCCCCCAGTTGTGTGTCTCTCCCCTGACAGGTTTCCTCTCTGCTGCTGCAGGCACCCTTAGAGGAAGCGGCTGGGAGTGTTTCTGAGGGAGGCCAGGATCCCTCTGAAGGGGAGTGGAGGCGGCTGTTGGTGGACATCAAGGAAGAGGAGGACTCAGAGGACAGCCTGCTGGGTAAGGAGGGAGGGAGGCCTTCTGGGGCCTGAGATCTGAGCGGCTCGGAAGCTCCTTCTGGGGCCGGCCTCAGCCGTCACTCCTCTCCATTCAGGAGCTGCTGTGTCACTATATTCTACGCGCTGTTGGATACTCTAGGCAAAAGGGGTGGTGGTTGGTGGACAAATGCAGAAACAGACCGATTTTTTTAATTTTTTTTGATGGATAGATACAAATGTGTAAAGATTCTCCAAAGATATTGTATATTAAGTATTGTTACTTTGTAAGTGTATTGTGGAAAATAAGTAAATAAACTTTATATATATAAAAAAAACAGACCGAAGTTAAGGATCAGAGTCCAGTAGCGTCTTAAAAGATTTAAAAAACTGTGGCAGGATATGAGCTTTCGTGAGCCACTGCTCACATCTTCTCCTTCAAAGTTAAGGGCGTTAGAAGAGCCCTGCTGGGTGGGACCAAAGGTCCACCTAGTCCTGCATCCTCTTCCCTGCAATGGCCAGGTAGATACAAGGGGGAGAAAAGACTAGGGGGGAAAGAGAGGGAAGGAAATTGGAAGGAGTGAAAGATGGGCCATTGGTCCGTCTAGGTCAGTATTGTCTACTCAGACTGGCAGCAGCTCTCCGGGGTCTCAGGTGGAGGCCTTTCACATCAACTGCTGCCTGGTCCTTTTACCTGGAGATGCTGCTGGGGGTTGGACCTGGGGCCTTCGGCATGCAAAGCAGAGACTCTACTACTGAGTCACAGCCTGTGTTGGGGGTGGATCAAGATGGGCAGTCCGTCTGTAGCAGTAGAAAAGAGCAAGAATACAGCAGCACCTTGAAGACTTAACAAAATTTGTGGCCGGGGATGAGCTTTCGTGAGTCACTGCCAATGTTCCCTCTAAGCCGTGGAGTCTTGTGAGCAAAAATTCTACTTTGTGAGCTACTGGCATTAAAGTTGTGAGCAAGCGATTCGGCTGCTACATAAATCAGTTTGCTCTGGGGCCATCCTTCCTGAGCTGAGACAAAAACGTGTGAGCTGGAGGCTAAAAAACGGTGAGCTAGCTCACACCGACTCAGCTTAGAGGGAACACTGGTCACTGCTCACTTCTTCAGATACTTCTTCTTTATCTGAAGAAGTGAGCCCTGACTCCCAAAAGCTCATCCCCTGCCACAAATTTTGTTAAGTCTTCAAGGTGCTGCTGGACTCTTTTCTACTGTCCCTGGGGGGAAAGCCTGGAGGGGGGGGGGAAGAGGGGGAAGGAGAAACCAGTGGCTAGTAGAGAGGAAAAGGGGCTGAGGGGGAAGCCTGAAAAGAAAGCCAAAGTGAGGGCCAGTGGGAAGAAAGAGGATTTTCCTCCACTGTGATTTTTACAGGTCCCTAGCTTGTCTTTTAATACAAACATTCAGAAGGTGTCCTTCAGAATTCTAAAGGCACTCTAAAAGAAAATGGTGTAAAGCAACAATTTAAAACTATGGGGAGGGGCTGTGGCTCAGTTGGTAGAGCACCTGTTTGGCATGCAGAAGGTCCCAGATTCAATCCCCAGCACCTCCAGGTGAAAAAGGACTAGGCAGTAGGTGATGTGATAGACCTTTCTCTGCCTGGGTCCCTGAAAAGTCGCTGCCAGTCTGAGGAGACAATAGTGACTTTGATGGACCAAGGGTCTGATTCAGCATTAAGGCAGCTTCATGTGTTCATGAGCATAGTGGAAAAACTCTAAATAATACGAGCTACTGAGGGGAAGCGCATCCCATCTCTTTGGGGCTACCACAGAAAAGGCCCAGCTCCTGATCTGAAGCAGGGCAGGCATTTCAGAAGACTTGTAATACTTTCTCACCAATGTGAGCCCGAACCCTTCTTTAAAGCAAGGAGAGCATGCTCGAGCAGTGGAGAGGCAGAGAGACTGGGCGTCCCTGAAGAAATGCTCTGTCAAGGACTATCACTCCCAGAGTTCCTTGTGCCTGGGCAGGAGGGAGGGACTGAATATCCTAATGATCAGTGCCGTTGACCTGAGGGACAGAGGCAGGAGGGCAATGGTGGCTGTTGGTTGGACTTACGGGCCTAAAATATATGTGGCACCAATAGAATCTACTCTCTGCCGTTTCCTCCAGGAGAATCGATCTGTTGTAATTCTGGGAGATTTGTAACCTTAACGCAGCAGCGTTTGGTCCATTAGATCGGTAAAATGCCATCGAGTTGCAACTGACTTATGGCAACCCCATGATTTTCGACCTCATGGGTTAACGTAACATAAGAACATAAGAGATGCCAATGTTGGATCAGGCCAAAGGCCCATCCAGTCCAACACTCTGTGTCACACAGTGGCCAGAAATACCAGTGCCATCAGGAGGTCCACCAGTGGGGCCAGGACATTAGAAGCCCTCCCACTGTTGACCCCCCCCCCAAGCACCAAGAAGACAGAGCATCCCTTGCCCCAGAGTCCCTATCTATACCTTGTGACTAATAGCCACCGATGGACCTCTGCTCCATATGCTTATCTAATTCCCTTTTGAAGCCACCCATGCTTGTAGCCGCCACCACTTCCTGTGGCAGTGAATTCCAAGTGGTTTTTCAAGGCAAAAGGAGAGCAGAGGTGGTTTGCCATTGGCTTCCTCTGCATAGCAGCCCCAGTGTTTCTTGGGGATGGTCTCCCACCCAAGTACAGGCTGTGGCCGACCCTACATAGTTTCTGAGTGCTGACGAGATCAGGCTAGTCTGCACTATCAGGGCTACTGTTGGTCTGTTAGAATGAACAAAACAAACACTGACTGGATAATAATGGAGGACCAACCAATATGTTAGAAAACTAGCAATCCGTATAAGATACTTTTTCAAACTTTATGTTACATTAAATCAAAATAGCAAAGGGTGTGTGTGTGTTGCGGCACAGTAGAAGACTGCAGATTATACCAGGCTATGGTGTCATTTCGAGGCTCAGAGGCCGCGGTGGCTCAGAGGTTAAGATGCTGAGCTGCAGACCAGAAGGTCGGTAGCTCGGCAGTTCGAGACCTGAGTGCCGCGTGACAGAGTGAGCCTCCCGTCTCTGGCCCCAGCTCCAGCCAACCTAGCCGTTCGAAAGCAAGAAACTGCAAGTAGATAAACAGGTACTGCTTCGATGGGAAGGTAACAATGTTCCATGTGCCTCAGCGTTTAGTCATGCCGGCCACATGACCACGGAGAAGTCTTCAGACAGCGCTGTCTCTTCGGCTTGCAAATGGAGATGAGAACCACCCCCTAGAGTCAAATTGGACTGGCTTTCAAGCAAGGGGAACCTTTACCATTTTATGGTGTGATTTTAGAATTAAAATAGTAATTTTTCATAACCCAACTATGAGATGAGAGCATAGTATGTGTGAGGGAGGGAGACAAATTTCACTGGGCCCAGACAATGCTTTTTGGGCCCCAGGCAGACTTCTTCATAGTTAGAATGTTGGTGAGCATTCCATGGTAACAGTGCTGTACTTTGACAGTCTTAAAGCTTTAACTTTTGAATTGCTGGGTTTTAATAAACAAAGCTACAAACTTGTGGTTGCCCTTTGAATGGTGGGGTTTCTCCTGATGAGTTGTGGGGTTTCTCCCCTTTGTCTCCCCTCCAAGCAGTTATGTCTCGTTCAAGGACTGAAGTAGGGGGAGCTGTAAAATATCTGGGTCCAAAATCTGAGGAAAATTCATATTATTAGGAGGTTGGAACACCTTCACTATGAAGAAAGGCTGAAGAGGCTGGGACTTTTCAGTTTAGGCAAAAGACGACTAAGGGGGGACATGGTAGAGGTTTTTAAAATTATGCATGGGGTGGGGAGAGTGGACAAAGAGAACTTTTTCTCCTTCTCCCAAAATACTAGAACTTGAGGGCATCCAATGAAGCTGCTGGGCAGTAGGTTCAGGACAGACAAAAGGAAATACTATTTTACACAGAAAATGGTTAAAAGGTGGAATTCGCTGGCAGAGAATATAGTAATGGCCACAGGAATAAACAGCTTTAAAAGGGGATTAGGTAGATTCATGGAGGAGAGGTCTATCAGTGGCTACTACCATAGTGACTAAAGGGAACCTCCACGTTCAGAGGCACTAACCCTCTGAATCCCAGAGCCAGGAGGCAACCTCAGGGGAGGGCCTCGGCCTCTATGCCCTGTTGTTGGCCATCCAGAGGAACTGGTTGGCCACTGTGAGACAGGAGGCTGGACTAGATGGACTATTGGTCTGATCCAGCAGGGCTCTTCTTATGTTCTTATGCCTTAACGGGGCTGCAATTTTTTTAAAAAATATATTTATTGGGTTTTGCACACAATTGACACACACCACATTGACACAAAAACAAAAACACACAGATCAAACAAACATATACATAGACTACTACTATTTTCCACTTACAGCAATACAGCTTACTTCTTGAAAATAAAGTTAATTCATTTCCCAGCTAAACACATATTCCTACTACACCTTTTAAGGTTAACTACATGCATATTTCCAAATTAATTTTATCACAACAGACATTATTGTTTTTAGGTAAAGTTCTCACCACTATTCATACAATAACTATACATATTTATCCCTTTTCCTTACTCTTCATTGTCACAGTCCATGAATTTCCTGCAATTTTTGATAATGTTGGGTGTTTAACCATGGGTAAAAGGTAAAGGTTCCCTTGCTCGAAAGCCAGTCGAATCCGACTCTAGGGTTGCGGTGCTCATCTCCGATTCAAAGCCGAAGAGCCAGCGCTGTCCGAAGGCATTTCCGTGGTCATGTGGCCGGCATGACTAAACACCAAGGCGCACAGAACGCTGTTACCTTCTCACCGAAGTGGTACCTATTTATCTACTTGCAATTTCTTGCTTTCGAACGGCTAGGTTGGCAGGATTAACCATGGGTACCAGAGAACAAAAGGTAGGGCAGGTTAGTAGAAAGGGTGGGGGGAGGAATCTACACACACACACGTTTCTCGTTAAAGTAAGTAAGGACTGTTTCCCAGTTTGAAGAGGGGAAGGAAAGGGAGGATGTAGAACTTGCTCCATAGTGTGGCCTGCTCAGGCTAAAGGTATGAGCAGCCACATGCCTGAGGCAGTAAACAAATGTTGACAAAGGAAACAAAATAAATCCAGACTAGTTGTATTTGTGGGTGTGTTTTAAGTGCCATCAAGTCACAGCCAATTTATGGCGACCCTGCAGGGTTTTCAAGCCAAGAGATGTTCAGAAGTGGTTGGCCATCACCTGCCTTTGTGTAGAGACCCTGGGCTTCCTTGGTGGTCTCCTATCCGAGTTCTAACCAGGGCCAACCCTGCTTAACCTCTGAAATCTGATGAGATCAGGCTATTGTGGGCCATCTAGGTCAGGGCCCAGACCGGTTAGAAACGAGATTCGGCTTCTTGCAAGGGTGTTCACTGGATCTCTCTCTCTCTCTTTCTCTCTCTGTTCAAGTCTGTGAGGTGCCCGAGAATGAAAAGGACGGAGGATTCCAGGCATTATTGTCAGAACCATGCAGGAGCGAAGACTTGAAAGGAAGCTTCAGGAATGGTGATGGACCAGCGAGGCAGGGTGGAAACAGCATCCTGCAGAGAAGGGATAAATCCATTCCGTGCCGAGGAGGGGACTTCCAGGAAATCCCACTTCAGCAGGAAAGGCCAGCCCAAAAGAGGAAGGAAAAGGACCTCCCTGCTCACCTGAGAATCCACCAAGGGGAAACTCAGAATGAAAGCGTGGAGCTCCAAAAGAGCTTTGGTCAGAATGTGAACCTGATTTCCCGTCAACAGACTCACTCGGTAGAGAAACTGTATAATTTCTCGGAGTGCGGAGAGAGTTTTGGTTGGAGAGCGACCCTTACTGCGCATCAAAGAGTTGACGAAGGGGAAGAGCCAGATGAGCTTCCAGAGTATGAGAACAGCTACAGTTGGGGGGCCCATGCAGGAGGGGAACCAGATGAGGGCTCCGAGGTTGGAAACTCCAGTGGATGCTTCAGCTTTGCCGTGCCTCAGCGAATGCACCCGGCGGAGAGACGGTATAAATGCCCAGAGTGTGGACAGAGGTTTCGGCGGGCCGCACACGTTCAGCAGCATCGGATAATCCACACGGGGGAGAAACCGTATGAGTGCTCCGAGTGTGGGAAGAAGTTTACTCGGCTGCCGTACCTGCAACAGCATCAAAGAATCCACACGGGGGAGAGACCGTACGAGTGCTCTGACTGTGGGAAGAGCTTCAGTCGCCGCCGAAGCCTCACTGTGCATCAGAGAATCCACACAGGGCAGAGGCCTTTCGAGTGCCCCGAGTGTGGAAAGCGATTCGGTTTCAGTTCCCACCTTCAGCAACATTTGAGAATCCACACTGGAGAGACTCCGTACCAGTGCTCAGAGTGCGGGAAGGCCTTCCGCCACCGCATAAGCCTCACCGTGCATCAAAGAGCGCATAAAGGAGAGAGGCCTTTTAAATGTTCAGAGTGCGGAAAGAGGTTCAGTCGGACATCCTACCTGCAGAAGCATCGAAGAATCCACAATGGGGAGAAACCTTACGAGTGTTCAGACTGTGGAAAGAGGTTTGGTATCAGGTCCTACCTTCAGCGGCATCGAAGGATCCACACGAGGGAGAGACCATATCAATGTTTGGAGTGCGGAAAGAGTTTTATTCAGCCGTCACACCTTCATGAACATGAAACAACCCACATGCCCCAAACCACATAGCAGCTCAGTTCATGGCGAGAGATTTTCTGCTACATCCATCCTACAGTTGATGGGACAGGTCTCCCCGGGGGCATATAAGTTTATTCAACAGGAAATGTAGGGAAGGAAATTTAGTTTTGATCCACTTTGTACTCCTACGCCATCGGATGAGGTGCTGCTTTGATTGCTCAGAGTGTTGAGGGGTTGGGAATTAGTTTCTCAAAGAAGGGCCTTTTTAGCATTTGCCCCTTGTGTGCATAACTCTCTGTTTATGGAAATGTAAAACGCTTTTGACTGTTAGGAAGCTGGTTAAAAGAAGTCTCTTTTTCAAAACTTGTGAGGGAACGGGTTAGATGATGACATGAGATATCTCCGTGGTCTCTGTTACTGGCATAAGACAGTGTGAACAGTCGGCATCCCAAATTCACAAATGATTCTGACCTGGCGGGGAGGTAAGAGAGGGCAGAAGGATCAAGATGGCTGACGAGAGTAACTGTCAAATGCTTGTTTCTCTGACAGCCATTGGCTGAATCTCAAGGGGACCTCCCATTCAATATGAATAAAATGCAGGAGTGGTGAACTTTTAAAAAATGATCTGTGTGTTTCTTTACCAGTTTGAGGACCTGAGAAATAACTCAGCGGAGGGGGTTGTTACATGTTGTTAAATGGTGCTATTTTTACAGATCTCTTCAAATGTATTATCTCTCTCTCTCCGTGGTAGGCATAACTCATTAGAAAATAAAAGCGAGAGATTTTCTGCTACATCCATCCTATAGTTGATGGGACAGGTCTCCCCAGGGGCATATAAGTTTATTCAACAGAAAATGTAGGGAAGGAAACTTAGTTTTGATCCACTTTGTACTCCTACACCATCGGATGAGGTGCTGCTTTGATTGTTCAGAGTGTTGAGGGGTTGGGAATTAGTTTCTCAAAGAAGGGCCTTTTTAGCATTTGCCCCTTGTGTGCATAACTCTCTGTTTATGGAAATGTAAAATGCTTTTGACTGTTAGGAAGCTGGTTAAAAGAAGTCTCTTTTTCAAAACTTGTGAGAGAACGGGTTAGATGATGACATGAGATATCTCCATGGTCTCTGTTACTGGCATAAGACAGTGTGAACAGTCGGCATCCCAAATTCGCAAATGATTCTGACCTGGTGGGGAGGTAAGAGAGGGCAGAAGGATCAAGATGGCTGACGAGAGTAACAGTCAAACGCTCGTTTCTCTGACAGCCATTGGCTGAATTTCAAGGGGACCTGTCATTCAATATGAATAAAATGCAGGCGTGGTGAACTTTTAAAAAATGATCTGTGTGTTTCTTTACCAGCTTGAGGCCCTGAGAAATAACTCAGCGGAGGGGGTCGTTACATGTTGTTAAATGGTGCTATTTTTACAGATCTCTTCAAATGTATTATCTCTCTCTCTCCGTGGTAGGCATAACTCATTAGAAAATAAAGCTAGGTGTTTGAAAATTGGACAGTGACGTTTGAGTGATCATTGGAGTCGCAGTTCCAGAGATTAAGGGAATCAGGATATCCTGACCCAGTTTATTTTGAGACCCAACCACCACCGCCGCCAGTATTATCTGCGATGATAGCTAAGATTTTCTGTGGTAGGTATAACCCATCCAGAAATAAACAGCTAGACCTTTGAAAATTGGCCCGTTACCTCAGGATGATAATGCTGAGAGTTGCCATGTCAAAAACGAAGGGGGATCAAGACATTCTGGCCCGGGGTATCTCCAGACACACCTACCCCTGTTTGCAATAGAAACGAAGGTGGTCTGTGGCAGGCATAACTCACCCGAAAGGAAAGCTAGAGGTTTCAGAATTTGCCACTGGCTTTAGAGGATGATCATGGCAGTTGCAGTGCCAAACATGAAGGGAATCGAAACCTCCTAGCCCAGGTCATCTCCAGAACATCCCTCTGCTCTTTGGACTGAAAGGGACACCTTATTTCCTAGAAGCCAGGAAGGTGGAGACAGAACAGGCAGGGAGAGTGGAGTGTGTGACCCCTCCTTTATCTTCCTACAATTTGCCAATGACTTGGTCTTAAGCATGAAGCTTACTGGAGTAATACTCTAGAGGAAGCCGTAGAGGGAAATTCAGAGGAAGCAGCAACTGTATTGAAAATACAGTTCGGGGTAGTGGTTAAGAGTGGCAGATTCTAATCTGGAGTTTGGGGTAGTGGTTAAGAACCAGTTTTGGTGTTGTGGTTAAGAGCAGCAGATTCTAATTTGGAGAGCCGGGTTTGATTCCCCACTCCTCCTCCACATGCAGCTTCTGGTGTGACCCTGGGTCAGTCACAGTTCTCTCAGAACTCTCTCAGCCCCACCTACCTCAAAGGTGTCTGTTGTGGGGAAAGGAAGGCGATTGTAAACCGCTCCGAGACTCCTTTGGTTAGTGAAGGGCGGGGTAGAAAACCAACTCCTGTTCTTCTTCATATTAGTATTGGAGAAAAATATGTTCAAGCACCATTTTGGGGGTTAGCTTGCAAAGCATGCAGGGTCAGAGCCCCCAATTAATCAATGGGGTGGGGACATGGCTCAGTGGTAGAGCATCTGCTTGGCATGCAGAAGTTTCCAGGTTCAATCCCCGGCATCTCCAGTGAGAGGAAGAAAAAGAGGTTGGATTTATAACCCGCCCTTCACTACTTGAAGAAATCTCAGAGACTTCCTTTCCCTCCCCACAACAGACACCCTGTGGGGTGGGTGGGGTGAGAGGGCCCTTTTCAGAACTGCTCCTGAGAGCACAGCTCTGAAAGAACTTGTAACTGACCCAAGGTCACATCAGCAGCTGCATGTGGATGAGTGAGGAATCAAACCTGGTTCTCCCCGATTAGAGTCCGCGCTCCTAACCTAACTCCTCCTGGCCACCGTCATATCCCCTCCTCATTCCTTGGCTCATTCTCCTTAGCCATTCACTAACCTACCTTTTATGCACCTCCCATCTTCAGCTACATTATTTATTTATTCATTATTTATTCATTTATATCCCACCTTTTTCCACACTGGAGACCAAAGCAGCTTACATTATCCTCCTTGCCTCCTTTTTATCCACACAACAGCCTTGTGAGGTAGGTTATGCTGAAAGTATGTGACTTGTCCAAAATCTCCCAGCGAGCTTCTACAGCAAAATGGGTATCAAACCTGGGTTTCCTAGATCCTACTCTAACTGCTATACCACACTGGCTTTCGTAGGGTGGCTGCTGTTGAACAGTAGTAAGCAACCAGGCCTAGTTGAGTCATACAAGTTGGGTGGTATCAAATTATCCAGAGGTTGCTGCTGGTCCTATGCCTGCCAACCTCCAGGTAGAACCTGGAGATCTCTCAGAATTACATCTGAACTCCAGACAACAGACATCTGTCCACCTAGAGAAAATGCCTGCTTTGCAGGGTGGACTCTATGGCATTATATTCAGCTGAGGCCTTTGTGCTCCCTAAACCCTGCCCTCCTCAGACTCCACCACAAAATCTCCCAAGAATTTCCCAACCTGGAGCTAGCAACCATAGTCAGACCTGGCCCCAATGAGTCCTCCCTCCAAGGCCAAAATAGGCCTAGAAAGGGCCCTGCCCCCTCTCTGCCTCTGACAGAACCAAGCTTGGAAATCTGTGGTTGCTTAGCAACAGCCACTGAGGGAATCTGTTGCTTAAAGTGACAGACACTCCTTTTATAATTTTCAGATTTTTAAAAAAACCAACATAGGGTTTAAGAGTTCACATTTTTCTGCAAACCTGGGAACCTTTTCAGGTTTGTAGAAAGGTCTGTCTTGCCTGCTAACAGCTCCAGTCACCAGATTTAAGTATCCAAAGATTCAGCCAACTTCATTATTAGAATATAAGATTCCCCATTACTATATGTGGGTGTGAAAGCTGGACAGTGAAAAAAGCCAATTCATTTAAAAGTTGATTAATTTGATATGTGATGTTGGAGGAGTGTTTTATGGATACCATGGACTGCCAAGAAGACAAATAAATGGGTTCGAGATCAGATCAAACCTGAATTCTCCCAGAGGCTACCATACTTTGGTCTCAACATGAGAAGACAACAATCACTAATGCTAGGAAAAGTTATTCATACCTTGAATAAAACTTTGTTGCTTCATCTTCCTACAGTCTGCCAATGACGGGGTCTTAAGCATGAAGCTTACTGGAGTAATACTCTAGAGGAAGCCGTAGAGGGAAATTCAGAGGAAGCAGCTGCTGTAGCCTGCTAGGGCCCTTTCTCCCTTCAACCTTCAGCTGGAGTAGTTTCAGGTCTTCACTATTTTTTGCCACTAATACGGTCTCATCTGCATATCTCAAACTGTTAATGTTCCACTCACCAATTTTCACTCCCTCTTCCTCTAAATCTAAACCAACGTTCCTTCTTCTGCATCCAGGTTGAAGAGACAGGGAGATAAAATACATCCTCGTCTGACACCTTCGCCAACAGAAAACTGTCCTGTTTCTCCATATTCTGTCCTAACAGTAGCCTCTCTTGTCCCGAGTACAGGTTGCGCATGGAAACTATCCGATGTTGTGGCCCACCCCATTTCTTTTAAAATGCTCCCGCCCACCAACCATAACTTTTAATGATCCAGAACAAAATTTGAGTCCAGTGGCACCTATAAGAACATAAGAGACACCAGTGTTGGATCAGGACAAAGGCCCATCCAGTCCAACACATCAGGCCAAAGGCCCATCCAGTCCAACACAGTGGCCAGAAATACCAGGTGCCTCCAGGAGGTCCAGCAGTGGGGCCAGGTACGAGACTCCAATTTTGTTCTTCTGCTGCAGACCAACACGGCTACCACCTGAATGTATTTCCATGATCCACACAGTCCAAAGGTTTGCTGTCATTTACGAAACGCGAGCCGATTTTCTTCTGAAATCCTCTCCTGTGCTCCAGTAAACCACCTCACTTTACAAGGTCACGATCAACTCGGAAGCGGCCCGAGCACACACACAAGAACAAACCGCGCGCGGCGATCGGTGGGAATTCGGCGATTTCTGCCCGGCGCCGGCCGCCAGATGGCTCCGCTTC